TAGCAGTAGGAGCAGCAGCAGCAGCAGAAGCAGCAGAAGTAGCAGTAGGAGCAGCAGTAGCAGTAGCAGAAGCAGCAGCATAAGCAGCAGCAGTAGCAGCAGAAGCAGTAGGAGCAGAAGCAGCAGAAGCAGTAGGAGCAGAAGTAGCAGTAGGAGCACACGGAGCAGCAGCAGCAGAAGTAGCAGCAGGAGCAGAAGCAGCAGCCGAAGCAGCAGCAGCAGAAGTAGCAGAAGCAGCAGAAGCAGTAGGAGCAGAAGTAGCAGTAGGAGCACACGGAGCAGCAGCAGCAGAAGTAGCAGTAGGAGCAGGAGCAGGAGCAGAAGCAGCAGCAGAAGTAGCAGCAGCAGAAGTAACAGTAGGAGCAGGAGCAGCAGCAGAAGCAGCAGCAGCAGTAGCAGTAGGAGCAGAAGTAGCAGTAGGAGCAGAAGTAGCAGTAGGAGCAGAAGTAGCAGTAGCAGCAGAAGCAGAAGTAGCAGAAGCAGAAGTAGCAGCAGCAGCAGAAGTAGCAGCAGCAGCAGCAGTAGGAGCACACGGAGCAGCAGTAGCAGTAGCAGTAGGAGGAGTTAGAGCAGTAGTAGAATACAGGCGAAACAGTAACGATAAAGAAAAGAAACAGTGACTCAGTGGAACCTTCACTGGAGAACACTGACCAATAGAACAACAGTGTAAAAGTCAGAGCAGTTAGTGGGCGCTCTCTCTGAAATGAAGGAGGTCTCAGGGGGTTTAAAACAAGTCAAATCACAAACAGGAAGTACTTAATCAGTTCCTTAAAAGCTAAATCAGAACCATTCAGGAAGTCAGTACTTCTTCTGAATTTACACTTTAGTTTATCTTATATAAACTCACAAATTCATTCATATCAGTATAATCATTTAATGTTGTTGTTATTGATTCCTATATGCATTGTTAATGTACTCTGATTATTATATATACTCACAATTATTGGTGTATGTACTCAATTACTGTTTTATCGTCCTTTATTAGATGGACTTGTGTCTTTATTTGATCCATGTGTAAATGATCTGCAGAGAGGGAGCAGTGGGTGTTTTCCAATCAGACCAGATAAGAATATGATTTTAAGTGGATGTATGCAATAAATAATAATAAAAGTACACAATCTAATATATAGTTATTGATAAGTGCATGAGAGGAAACTCTTGCCAGATGTTGGTGTGTCTTTTGATTCGATCAGACTCTGTACCTTTAAGAGATGACTTGTTTGATCTTTAATAAAGAGTTGAACTTGACCTGAGAGGAGTCCATCTTTTTTTCTCAGAGACCTCCGGCCAGGCCTGGGTCTCCCACACCTTCAGGTGAACCTCCATCCTGGTTTGTAGACGTTAGAAACTTGAACAACTGTTTGATTTCTTTGTTCCCTGAAATCAAACAAAGGTTCAAGGTTCAAGGGCTTTGAGTTCTACAAGAGTACGTTTGCTATTTAGAAATGAGATGCTCAGTCCATATAGAGGTCTGAATACAAATATATATACTGAATCAAAGTATACTATATTATTTGACGATACATGATTAAAACTAGTTCAGTCACATTTTGAAATGTTTATTAACAGCAGCATAGTTTCGTGTCTAGGCTCCGGCCTCATCACTCCCAACAAATATATTTACATAGAACATTAAGGAGTGATGATTAAATATCATGCTGGCGATATGAGACCAGTGTGTGTAGGGAAAAGCCCCATTGAGCCCATTACCCATAGACCCCTTTGGCCATGACGGAAATATACTACCTATACAACATACTTCGGAAACATACTGTTAAAATACATATGACTGAATCAATCATTTTATTCTACCGATTCAATTCAATATTAATACAGAAAATCAATTAAACACACAATCGAAAAACATGTTGTATAGGCAGGAAGACAGAAAGCTTATAAAGAAAATAGGCCGACGTAAGTCATCCACTTTCAACGTTTTTGGTCAGGGATACAAATATTGAATATAACAGCATTTTAACTGCAAACTTAGGAGGTGGGGGCCGTGCCAGGGGGTAGCTTGCAATTGGCCTAGCAACGGCTTAGCAACCCCATTGTTTTGTTATGAAATGGAAAGATTTCTCACAAGTCAGCGTAAACGACCGTGATCTCTGTGTGTGTGTGTGTGTGTGTGTGTGTGTGTGTGTGTGTGTGTGTGTGTGTGTGTGTGTGTGTGTGTGTGTGTGTGTGTGTGTGTGTGTGTCTGTGTGTCTGTGTGTCTGTTTGCGGTGTGGTGATGAGGTTAAATGCCACAGCATGCCAGTTGAAACAGTGAACGATCGCTATTGTGTACGCTTAGGGTGTAATGGTATTATACACACATATTGTAGGAGCACAGAAACAGTGTTCAAATTCTGCTTTTACAAACTTATTTTGGTTGTGCTTACCTTGCAAAGTAATGTTATAAGTGTCAATGGAATGTTTAAATGTAAATATTAATGATAATATTGTAGCGTGTCCAAGTTAATAGTTATTTCAGTTATCAGATGTGCACAGTTTAGTACATTTGTAAAGTTATTTAGGCAATGTTGTTGGTGGGAGTTAGGGAGACCGCCCCTTCCAGGTGTGTGTGTGCGTTTTCCGGTGTGTGTGTAGGGAGTACGAGACGGTAGGAGTTGTGTTCGAGTGTGGGGAAAAGTCATAATGAGTGTTATACTATTGATTGGCTCTGTAAGGCGTGGCTGTGGCCGTCAATGCCATAAAATAAAGAGAACGTTTTCGACATTGAAGGCTCGTGATCTGTGATCTTGAATAGCGGTGAACGCTACAATATGAACAGGCTCGTGCTTGGCCCACTGGTATTGTTTGTTTATTTATTTAGAAAATTAACTAGCAACACCGTGCTGTCATATAGCAACTGCTAAGCTACTGCAGCAAAAAAATCCTGGCGCCGCCCATGAAGGGCGGGGTTAGCAACATTTGACCAATCACAAACATGGACAAGCGTACTGACAGTGCAGCGCGTCATACTTCCTGAATGAAGAGTGAACTATTGTAGCGTCCGAGGTGTTGGGCTTCAAAGATAATTCTGTATCACAAAAACTCAGGAACTTTGTACTTGTGGAGCGTCACAAACAGCGCCTCCGTTTATTACTTTCCACTCTCTGGCCGTTTCTCAATCGCGAGGATGCTGGCTTGGTAGCACAGCCGAGCCGAGCATCTTGCTTCAGAAGCAAGGCAAGAATACTTCCTGCTATTCGGAAAACGAAGAGTGGAACAGGCTAGCAAGTGTGCAGGTGTGCGTCATATGAGAGGCCCCGCCTTACATCTTCCGCCACAGATTTTGGGGAAATTGGTCCATGCGCAAAGCATTGTGGGGATTTTAAGGACGCAAAGTCTACCCATGTGCAGCCTCGAAATTTCCCCCAAACCAAGGACGCGGCCTCCGTGGAATTCCAAGTATGCTGGAGATTGGAACAGTCCTTCGGCGGCACTCGATGACGTAGCATCCTTGAAATATTGACTTGGAAGCCAATATCCTCGCGATTGAGAAACGTTCTCTCTTTCCACACCTTCAGGACAGACTGCGCATGCTCAAAACACATGAACTCTCACCACAGTGCTTACACTATCACGTTAGACAAATATGAAGAAGTTAAACTTTAAACATCCATGACTTAAACACTTTATCCAGGAGCAAAGCCACATAGCTGCACCTGCAAGGTGAATACAGCTGGTAAAAGAAAAAGCGTTTGAATGCGTACATTGACAGGTTTATGATATCACTGCCCCGTCTAAGACACAATCTGACTTTAATTACATTTGACTTGAGTGTTTCGTCAACTTAATGTGTTGCTTAAAATAATACTTCTGCATACAGTATGTGACACTGTGAGTGTTGCACGGCCAGATACGGCTCAGCTGACTCAGATAAGGAAATATATGATACATTATGATATGATGTGATATCATGTGAATGATAAGTGAGAAGTTGTGTACATTTACAGACTGTTGCACAAACTAAGAAGCTTATAAACATCAGGTTTAAAACTAAAAGAGGTTTACAAAAAATAAACACCATTAAAGATGTTTTGAGTTTAGTTATTCATTTGTATTTGTTGTGAAAGAGATGCTGATTTAGGGTGGGGTGTGGTTTGGAAATGAGAGACACTGGGGGGGGGGATATCTCCAGAACATATCTAGAGTTGAGGAGGAGATACATGTAGCTGTATTTGAGTATTACAGAAGTACTGGATTGATGGAGAGTATTTTATTACCATGGTGTCTGTTCACCACTCCGCACAGCAGGGGGCGCTGATGATCCAATTAAACAAAGAGGAGTATCACTGATAAGGTAGGGTAAAGTAACTAAGTACATTTACTAATGTACACGTCGGAGGTACTTGTACTTTACCTGAGTATTTCCATGTTATGCTACTGTGTACTTCTATGTTCAGAGCTACATGGTGTACTTCTACTCAGTGCTTGAATTGGAATAGAAAAGGTGCCAGTACTCTAAATCAGCAACTTTTTCAAGTCAATTTATTTATACAGCCCAAAAACAAGTATTTGGCTCAAAGTCACATAGTATCCTATAATGCTGGTGGGTTTGTCTCTTTACTGTATATTTTAGAAAGGCTCACTGTACTTAAACAAAATGACTCAGGGTGCATCTGAGATTAGAGGGGGTGCAGGGGTAAAATGCTATTTTTATAAGTGGGGAGTGGACCTGACACCCTCTAGGGGGGTCCGGGGGCATGCTCCCCCGGGAAGATTTATTTCTAAATATTGAAGTTAAAAGCATCAATCTGGTGCACTTTGAGAGCAACATGAAGAGATATATGGATACCTCTCAACATCCATATGAAACAGAACTGGAAACAGATTTACTTTTTCTTTATGGATATAAAAGGAAAAGAAGCCTGACTACTGGCTGGTCCCTGAGTACACTCACCATCTTTCAGCAGGAAAGGAGAGAGGGAATCAATGGAGCTGCCAGGGAGGACACAGGGGAATGGGATGCAGAACTTGGAGCAGGAGGCTCGACCAGAGAAGGCTCCCCGTCAGACAAAATGTCTAACACAGGCACAGCATTTTCTGTATTTGCAGTCGGCGACAACCGCTGTCTTTTCGCACTATTATTAAGCCACGATAACATTTTCGAAATGCTAACATTATGTGATGTCTTTTCTGCTCTAGTCTATCGTGGCGGCGCGTCATAGATGCGTCATGAGATGCGTCATGAGATGCGTCATGAGATGCGTCATGAGATGCGTCATGAGATGCCGCGGAGGGATGCCGCCGGCCGCCGGCATCTAGGTACGCTGGGCATATTTGTTGTCATGCGTCATGACGAGCCGCCGGTGGCTGGCGGCTGAGTACCGGCATCTTACTGAGTACCGGCACCTTGCCGGTACTCAGTAAGAAGTGCCGGTACCACATGGGTAAAGATCAGAAGTGCCGGTACTGTGTACCGGTGAGTACCGGCCCAATTCACGTACTGCTTCTACTACAGTTCAGAGGTACATGGTGTACTTCTACTCCACTACAGTTCAGAGGTACATGGTGTACTTCTACTCCACTACAGTTCAGAGGTACATGGTGTACTTCTTCTCCACTACAGTTCAGAGGTACATGGTGTACTTCTACTACAGTCCAGAGGTACATGGTGTACTTCTACTCCACTACAGTTCAGAGGTACATGGTGTACTTCTACTCCACTACAGTTCAGAGGTACATGGTGTACTTCTACTCCACTACAGTTCAGAGGTACATGGTGTACTTCTACTCCACCACAGTTCAGAGGTACATGGTGTACTTCTTCTCCACTACAGTTCAGAGGTACATGGTGTACTTCTACTACAGTTCAGAGGTACATGGTGTACTTCTACTCCACTACAGTTCAGAGGTACATGGTGTACTTCTTCTCCACTACAGTTCAGAGGTACATGGTGTACTTCTTCTCCACTACAGTTCAGAGGTACATGGTGTACTTCTACTACAGTTCAGAGGTACATGGTGTACTTCTTCTCCACTACAGTTCAGAGGTACATGGTGTACTTCTACTACAGTTCAGAGGTACATGGTGTACTTCTCCTCCTACATGTATTGAATACCTTTAGTTACTTTACAGATGTGGATGAATGATGTGAAATATAATCAAGTGTTAAATCAGACTTTAGTTCCACCTGGAGTAAATCCACAAGCTACCCTGCAGTATACAAAGTCATTCAAACTAGCTGCACCTTTACCAGCTTTGAGAACACTTTCATGATCAATCATTATAAAACATATCATATATATTATTCTGAAATGGACCAATCTGCACAATGACTACTTTTACTGTCGCTACTTTCACTATATTTTGATGAGAATACTTTTCTACTTTTACTTGAGGAACATTTTGAATGCAGGACTTTTACTGTAACAGAGTATTCCTACTCTCTGGTACTTCTACTTTTACTCAAGTACAAGATCTGAGTACTTCTACTTTAACTCAAGTACAAGATCTGAGTACTTCTACTTTTACTCAAGTACAAGATCTGAGTACTTCTACTTTTACTCAAGAACAAGATCTGAGTACTTCTACTTTGACTCAAGTACTAGATCTGAATACTTCTACTTTGACTAAAGTACAAGACCTGAGTACTTCTACTTATAAACTACATGTTGTGTATCAGCAGGAGACAAACAGCTGCTGGAGGAGAATCCCTCAGACGTCCAAGCTGCCGGCGTTCTGCCTGATTTCTCAGAATTTACCTTTTTCTCAGAATTTGGACTTTTCTAACGTGCTCATGTCCTGTTTTTAATGTACGTCTAAACGTATCTCGGCTGTTCCTGGAGTAGAACGCTCAGTTCTTCAGATACGGTTTGAATCCTGATATCCTCTGAAACTAGCTGATCAGGTGGATCCATAAACAACAAGCCGTCTCCATCTGCTCGGGAACTTCCCTAAAGGAAGATCCAAGGTTAGGCTGAGCTGAAGACCATCTGAGGATTAAAGTTAGTCCCAAGTCACAGAAACAAAACCCTGGAGCAGATTGCACTCTGGGTATTCTGATTTATCCCTGGAGGTATAAGAGAAAATCAACGTCTTCCTCCAGAACTAATGGTAACACTGGGGGAGTAACTGATGAACAGTTCCCCTGTTCTCTGCTCCTGACCCTGAGAGATTAGTGAGTCATAGCCCGACTGTCAGAATGGAAGCAACCTAATGTGGTTTCATACTGACTGAAACTCTGTGTGGTCGGTGTGTCTGTCTCTGTGTGTGTGTGTGTGTGTGTGTGTGTGTGTGTGTGTGTGTGTGTGTGTGTGTGTGTGTGTGTGTGTGTGTGTGTGTGTGTGTGTGTGTGTGTGTGTGTGTGTGTGTGTGTGTGTGTGTATAGGGGGGGTTCTCATTTCCTACTTTGCTATCAGAGTTTGAGCCGCCATCATTTACACCTTGTGTTTGGTGTCGTCTTCAGGATTAATAAATCCTAATTCCACCATCATCCTTTCCTCAGGTAGGACATACACACACACACACACACACACACACACACACACACACACACACACACACACACACACACACACACACACACACACACACACACACACACACACACACACACACAGAGAGGGTTCGCCTGGGTTGGCATCACGGACAGAACAGGTCTCAGTCAGAGTTTACTCCTCATTGTTGGTAAGGCTCAAATACACACAAATCAAAGCAAAAACTGAAGGAAGACGTTTACAAAAAGATGTAAACGATCAAAAAGGTTATGCAGAAAGACGACTAAGACGTGAGAACCACCAGCAGCAGGAACTGTGTTATTGTCAAAACACCATTTTAACATCGTAGTCGACTGCTGTACTAATTATATACACACACACACACACACACACACACACACACACACACACACACACACACACACACACACACACACACACACACACTCACACGCTCACACACACACACACACGCACACACACACACACACTCACACACACACCCACACACATGCTCACACACACACACACTCACACACACTCACTCACACTCACACACACTCTCACACACACACACGCCACTGAAAGTGTGTGTTTCCGACTCGCAGTGACTGACAGCTGAGGGGCGGAGCTAGCAGACGGCGGCCATGTCAGTTCTGTTCTGGATCTGGATCCTGATGATGGAGAGCCACGGTTTGTTCTGTTTTATTCCAGTCTCCTAAACCCTGACATGAGTCAGCATTATGAGTCCTGAACCCTGACATGAGTCAGCATTATGAGTCCTGTCATGAGTCAGCATTATGAGTCCTGTCATGAGTCAGCATTATGAGTCCTGAACCCTGACATGAGTCAGCATTATGAGTCCTGTCATGAGTCAGCATTATGAGTCCTCTCATGAGTCAGCATTATGAGTCCTAACCCCTGACATGAGTCAGCATTATGAGTCCTAACCCCTGACATGAGTCAGCATTATGAGTCCTGTCATGAGTCAGCATTATGAGTCCTCTCATGAGTCAGCATTATGAGTCCTAACCCCTGACATGAGTCAGCATTATGAGTCCTAACCCCTGTCATGAGTCAGCATTATGAGTCCTGTCATGAGTCATCATTATGAGTCCTAACCCCTGACAGGAGTCATCATTATGAGTCCTAACCCCTGATGCACAGTAACTAAATATGGTAGTGTAGTTATGGCAATGCAAATCTTAAGACATAAAACAATAGAAACAGAGAAAATTATATAATGCAGATTATGGGGCAGACCAAGGTGCAGTAAAGAGAAGTGAAGTATAAACATGTCAGATAGAATACAATAAGCTAGGTGTTGCAGAGAAGGTTGTGAGAGACCACAGTGATGCAGGAGTTATTCACAGTGTGACCTTTGACCCCAGCCTTAGAGGTCATCAAGGCTCACAGCGGGGGGGCGGTGCTGCTGACCTCTGACCTCCAGCTGCAGCTGAAGCAGGACGTGCGCTGGACTCACCCCGACCTGCTGGTCTCTCTGAAGAACAACGTGACGGCCTGCCATCACGGCCGCTGCCAGCTGCTCCGAGACGGCTCGCTGCGCTTCAGACGGGTCCAGCCCGGAGACTCAGGGAACTACAGCCTGCAGGTGTACGAGGAGGACGGGACGCGGGTGCTGAGGAGGGACTTCCTGCTGCTGGTGGAGAGCAGCCAATCAGGTACCTTCCCTCTACGTTAGGCCCCGCCCCCTTCTAGGCTGCGGCGACTACAGTCACTACTTTGACTTTTAACATTACAACTGTTTACTTTGACGTTAACCTCATTAGCATCATTTGCCTCATTGGCCTCATTAGCCTCGTTAGCCTCATTAGCATAATTAGCCTCATTAGCCTCGTTAGCCTCATTAGCATCATTAGCATCGTTAGCCTGTCCTCTCTGTGGAGCCTGAAGACAGATATTAGAGGAAGTAAAGAAACCGGGGTTGCGGTCGGATAGTCCAAAAATCAGCTCCTAAATTCTAACCCTATCGTCTATTCCTTGACCTCTGAGTGAAAGGTCACGGGGTTAAGGGATAGTGGATAGGAGAATTCAAAAGGACTTAGGAGAAGAGACTGCGGTACTTTAGAGAATCGACTGCACTTTCACTATCCGACGTGTTTATGATGCGCCAGCGGAGGTCATAAATGTGCGTCTGCTGCTGTGGGGAAACTATGGAAACTACAGTTTTCTATACAGCGGACTACAACATGGATGTTTAATAAGAACGAGGGACTACTGTAAACTCATCTAGAGACTCTGCACCGTGCTCTGATGCTGTTGTGCTTTATGAACGGGGACAACAGAGAAACATATTCTTCATGACCAAAGTTGGAATTGAAATAAAAAAGGAAAGTGAAACTTAATATGCTCGTCACCCTCTCCCTCCGGTCCACATTAATACAAATGATCCCAATACGTATGATTGTATGAAAAGATCTTAAAATCAATACAAATGTATTTATTATAAACGTTAGTCCTTAACATCTATCACTGTGTATATCACCATTCAAACATCTTTTAAAAGTTGAACAAACCCCACACAGCTCAGTAAAGACTGTGAAATGTTGACTTTATTTGATCATTTCAGTAAAAACTAACGTTCATATTTCTCTTTTTGATTATAATACTGATGAACGTTCAAAACAAAGCACTTTGGCAACTTACCAGATACGTTTTAAAATGCTTAATAAGCACCATAACTTTCATGATATCATTTCTCGTTCATAATCGGTTGTTTCCGTGAACGGCCGACTGTTGTGTGACGGCAAATGCTGCGGCTGCAAGGCATTGTGGGGCAGCATTTTCTCCTCTCCTTTAGGTTAGGGAGGTCCAGTGGTTCCTAAGCTAAAGGAGGTTATAAAGGAAGTTTGAAACCTCCTTTCCTTTAATTTAGAGAATTGGAACGGCACTTATCATGGCTGCCACTGAGGGACTTCCGGGTAATTTCACTCCGTTAGGAAGGTTCCTAAGCTAAATGGACTATTCGACTTCAGCCCATGACTCGTGTTGATTTTGTTGTTGAACGTGCAGTGTGTGTGTGTGTGTGTGTGTGTGTGTGTGTGGGTGTGTGTGTGTGTGGGTGGGTGTGTGTGTGTCAGCAGATCTCAGCAGCAGGAGTGTATTGGTGACGGTGTTTATCCTCCTCTTCCTCCTCTTTCTCGTCCTCTGCATCATCATCATCTTGTTCGTCCTCAACAGGAAGAGGAAGCAGCGGATCAGACTCTCAGGTATCAGCCAATCAGAGACAGGGACACACACACACACACACACACACACACACCTGAAGCTTCATTGATTGGTTTAGTTAATATTTTATGATATTTATGATCTGCTGCTTCAGGTCCGCTGGAGGACAACCTGTATGTGGAGATGCACAGTCACCGTGGCAACAAGAGGGAGGAGGACGAATGTCACTATGGTAACACTGGTTTATTTACAATGCTTAGACGCTAACAGATGCTAATATACCCTTAAGGTCGCTACACACCCACTTGAGACCAAAGAACGCATACCGAAGGCGTCCCGACTTTTATGTCAGCTACGCCGCCCGCCTACGCCGCCCGCCTACGCCGCCCGCCTACGCTGCCCGCCTACGAACACACCGCAAATACTTCAGTCGACGAGTGGCAATAACTGTCCTTACCAGCAGGCAGCGGTAGTGTGAACAGCCAATCAGAGTGATTGCTTGGGCCGACTTTCTCTGACCTCCCGCGGCCGATTCAACATGTTGAATCGGCATCGGGAGGTGTGAAAAGGTGCCGTAAAGACATGACGGTGCGGGACACACCAACCTGAGTAGGGCGCCGCGAATGCCCGACTGCCTCTGACGGCCTCTGACTCCCAAAATCGGGTTGGTGTGTAGCCAGCTTTACAGATACTAGGAGATTCTAACAGATGCTACTGAATGCTAACAGATGCAGACATGTATTCTAATAACTGTTAACAGATCAAGACAGATGCTAATGTAGGCTAACACATGCTATTGAATGCTAACACATGCCAACAGTTGCACACATATGCTAACACATGCTACTGAATGCTAATAGATACTAAGAGATTATAACAGATGCTATGTATGCTAACAGATGCTATTGAATGCTAACAGATGCTAACTTCTTAACCTGTCCACAGTTCCCTGTAATCCTGCTGTTTCCGTGGAAACACCAATACCAGCGCAGAGTTCAGAGGAGAACGTGTACATGTGATGGTCAATCAGAGCTCTCCTCACCTGCATGTTTCTCTGTTTACATCTTAATCAATAAAGTGAGGTTGTTTGCAGACGTTAGAGATGTTCCTCTTTTATTTTAACAATACAAGAAATTAACCAAAAATAATATAATATAAGATGATAAAATATTAGAGTAATGAAAGATAAGAATATATATAATAATGTGAAAATGTAAACTCCTGATAATATAATTTCCCCTTTTTATAAATACAACTTTAATTATAATAATCAAATGTATTTGTGTAAACATTTTCATCTTCCCCAAAAGAAAACAAAGGTTTAATAACATATTTTGGTGATGCTAACATATGCTAATTGATGCTAACAAGCGCTTAAAGATCTAGACAGATGCTAATAAAGTATATGCTAACATATGCTAAAAAAAAATATATATACTAAATGCTAACAGATGCAGACAGATGCTATTGTATGCTAAAACATGCTAACAGTTAATACTGTATTCATGTTGACCAACAGGAGAGATAAACACTTTGATCTTCCCCAAAAGAAACTAAAGGTTTAATCAAATATTTTGATGATGCTAACAGATGCTAATGGTTGCTAACAGATGCTAAGGGTTGCTAACAGATGCTAAGGGTCCTAACAGATGCTAAGGGTTGCTAACAGATGCTAAGGGTTGCTAACAGATGCTAAGGGTTGCTAACAGATGCTAGCTAGCCCTTACAATTATAGACAGGTGAACACTAATGCTAATATATGCTAACAGATGATATCAGATATGAACAGAATGACATTTGCTAATAATATATATATATATATACATATGCTAACAGATGCAGTCAGATGCTAATGTATGCTAACACAGGCTAAGAGTTAATAATGTGTTCATGTTGACCAACAGGAGAACATTGATCTTCCCCAAAAGAAATTAAAGTGTTTTTTAAATATAACGTGAGGAGGAAACCTCAGAAGACGGTGATCTGCTCCTCCTCCTCTTCCTCTCCACCCAGCGTCTGCACACACACAACAACATAAATCAGATATTATCATTTACACCAGTCCTTTTTTATTAATAATAACGTATTGTAGGGTAAGTGAAGGCATCACCAGGAAGAGCAGCGAGTGGTGGATGATGAACTCTCTGGTGAGCGTCAGCAGGTCCTGGTTCAGAGTCTGGAACAGAGAGGGGACCAGGACCAGAGCCAGGTTCTGAGCTGACATCCTGTTCACCTGGGAGAACACCTGGACCCTACACACACACACACACACACACACACACACACACACACACACACACACACACACACACACACACACACACACACACACACACACACACACACACACACACACACACACACACACACACACACACACACACACACACACACACACACACACACACACACACACACACACACACACACACACACACACACACACACACACACACACACACACACACACACACACACACCAGCTTCCTTCAGGATACTCCTCGACACACACTTCAACATGCAAATAATGTTGTACTTTTTATTTACATAAATGAAATGTGTGTGTGTGTGTGTGTGTGTGTGTGTTACATGTAGAAGTGTCCAAACAGTGCGTTCAGCGTGGCTCTGTTGTCTTCAGGAAGTTTCCGTAGCAGCCGTCGGTACGAAGAGAACCTGGAGCGCTCGTCTGAAATCACTGAGAAGAAGTACTGCATTAATACTGCAGTAATACTACTGATAGTACTGCATTAATACTACTGATACTGCATTAATGCTACTGATACTGCAGTAATACTACTGATACTGCAGTAATACTACTGATACTGCATTAATACTACTGATACTGCATTAATGCTACTGATACTACTGATACTGATACTGCAGTAATACTACTGATACTGCATTAATACTGCATTAATACTACTGATACTACTGATACTGGATTAATACTACTGATACTGCAGTAATACTACTGATACTGCATTAAAACTACTGATACTGCATTAATGCTACTGATACTGCAGTAATACTACTAATACTACATGGTAGTAATTGATGTTCTTGTACTTGACGACTGGCACTTGATGTACTGGTTCGAGATGTACGGGGTCTAGATGAACTGGTTCTAGAGGTACTGTTTCTAGAGGTACCGTACTGGTTCTAGAGGTACTGATACTTTATGTACTGGATCTAGAGATGTACTGGTTCTAGATGTACTGGTTATAGATGTTCTGGTTCTAGATGTAGTGGTTCTAGATGTTCTGGTTCTACCTGCAGCCTGGATCCACTGGAGTCTCTCGGCCTCGGGGATCAGGCTCTGCTGATGCTGGCGGACATATTGTTTGAGGGCGGCGCCGGCGTCCAGGACTCCCTGCTCGTCAGCCTCCAGGGGGGCGGAGCCTGGTGATGTCATCAGTGCCTCCACCAATCGGGTGACTTTGGCGGCGAGGCCACAGCGGCGGTACACGCCGTCCACCTTCAGACCTGAGAGACAGACACGTTACACTCACAGTGTTTAAAGGTCTCCTATTACGCAAAATGCACTTTGTGATGTCTTCTCTACATCACCATGTGTCCCCGGTGTGTCCCCGGTGTGTCAGGAGACTCACAAAGTGTCAGGAAATAAACCCTTCTCTCTTTTCCTCCGTACCCACATCTCTAAAAACGGGGGAACAACGGAGCTGATCCAGATTTGCTGCGTCATGACCACATTACTCAAATGTGGGCGGGCTTTACACCCACGAGCCAATCAGAAACATTGCTGTCAGAAACAATGAGACGTGTTCTGGAAGTAATATGGTCTGTGTTCACATTAGCATGCTAACACTCAGAGCTAACCTGTACTGGAGAGAGTATGTGTGAAGAAGCAGGAAATAAAAAGGAACTCACCTTGTGGTAAACCCTTTGCTAACAGGCTGAAATAGAGGGGTTTGAGGCTATAATGTGATCTGTTTTGTATTTTGAGCAAAACACTTCATAGACATGTTTTTCATATATCTGAGACCTATAATATATGCCTAAAAATAGTATAGTAGGAGACCTTTAATATCCACACACACACACACACACACACACACACACACACACACACACACACACACCACACACACACACAACCACACACACACACACCACACACACACACACACACACACACACACACACACACACACACACACACCACACACACACCACACACACACACACACACACACACACACACACACACACACACACACACACACACACACACACACACACACACACACACACACACACACACACACACACACACACACCGTAGTGGGTGATGTGGGAGATGCAGCGCTCGATGGGGGGCGGGACCAATCCCCTCGCACCAACCAGCGGGTACAAAGGCTGTGGCGCTGCGCTGTGATTGGCTGCAGGGGGCCGCGGTGGAGCTGCGCTGTGATTGGTCAGAGCTCTCTGCAGGTGGCTGAACCAGGACTGGCAGCTGTGCGGCTCCTCGAACCTCAACGCCAGCCTCCTGATGGGAAACAGATTACAACCTGTGATGTCACCTGCAATTAGCTCAGCCAATCAGGAGCCAGGAAGGAGAAATCAATAAAGACATAGTTTTTTATGTTGTACAACAAGTTAAAATCTGTTCAGCTGACTCATAACGCTGACTCATAACGCTGACTCATAACGCAGTATTCAATTCAGGAAACACACCTGTCTTCTGTTACCATGGTGATGATGTTTTCAGATGGATCCATTTCTGAAAAATATGTAGTGACAGATTTTTAAATACTTCTCAGTTTTCTCCTTTGGTTATGAACGTGTCTGACCCTCTGACCTCGTTAACTCTAGCTTTGTGTTTTTTATTCACAAACGTCCAGTTCTTCGTCTAAAAGGAGATATCTAACCTCAGTGGAAGAAACAGGTTATACATTAACACTAAAGAGGACCTGGTACGGAGCCCTGTGGGACTCCATCCAGTCTTTTAAAAACATAACGCTGGATCTCTCTATCTATCTATCCATCCATCCATCCATCCATCCATCCATCCATCCATCCATCCATCCATCCATCCATCTAACCTCAGTGGAAGTCTCCTGAGGCCTGTACTACGAAGCCGGATTTTCGCTTAGCTGGCTAACTTCAGGGAAAACTCTGGGTTTCCAGTCCTACGACGCTGGTTCTCTTCTTAGCGGGCTAGATCTCCATGGTAACTTATGCTGAGCGGCTAACCTGGTCCGGAGCAGGATAGGTTCCAGGATAAGAGATCAACTCAGTGAAAGCACCGCCTGCTGACCAATCAGAGCTCAGTGTGCGGAGTTTAAAGCTATCAAGTCATATTACAGGAGAAATGAAATACAGAAAAACTGCCGTTGCAGGAAAGACGGCCGGCAAAAATCAACCAACTGTGTGAACGTGAACATTAATAGAATATCCCCTCCCATCTTCAGAGCAATCTGACTATTATAACATTAGCGTTAAGAAAGCTTACTTAAATATCTGCCACAACATAAGTAACCGGATCAGAGTAACATTAAATACAGTCCGCGGCACTGTGAGTGCAGACGTCGATGTGTCCCATTATCATTCATATCATATCACATCATAATGTATCATATATTTCCTTATCTGAGTCAGCTGAGCCGTATCTGGCCGTGCAACACTCACAGTGTCACATACTGTATGCAGAAGTATTATTTTAAGCAACACATTAAGTTGACGAAACACTCGAGTCAAATGTAATTAAAGTCAGATCGTGTCTTAGACGGGGCAGTGATATCATAAACCTGTTCATGTACGCATTCAAACGCTTTTTCTTTTACCAGCTGTATTCACCTTGCAGGTGCAGCTATGTGGCTTTGATCCTGGATAAAGTGTTTAAGTCATGGATGTTTAAAGTTTAACGTCTTCATATTTGTCTAATATTAAAGTTCACTTTTCATTCAGGAAGTATGACGCTGCGCTGTCATTATGCTTGTCCATGTTTGAGATTGGTCGAATGCTCCGAATACCACCCCTTTCATGTGAACGCGCACCTAACTAGATAGGACACGGCTGGCTTGAGTTAACGAGTTGATAACCAGCGTCGTAGGACCGCTTAGCGAGAGCGCGTTTGTTTTGGATTGGGCCAACCGGCTAACTCAAACATATCCAGGTTAGGTTGAACCGGCTTCGTCGTACAGGCCTCTGGAGAAACAGGTTACGAATTAAGACTACAGAGGACCCGGTTTAGAGCCCTGTGGGACTCCATCCTGTCTGTTAGGTTTAGATAACTAACTGTATATGTTTAGGAACATAACGCTGGATCCAGCAGGTGTTCCTGGAGAACGTTAGAGGTACCGTGGTTCCTGACGGCGCTCAGGTCCACGCTCAGAGGCTGAAGTGTGTTCTTGAGGAGGGGATGCACGCTGACGCCGTCCTCCCATAGGAGCAGCCAGGCGTCAGTCTGACCCGGAGCCCCGCCCACTTCTATGGCACGCACACGACTGACTGCAGAAGACCCGCCCACCTCCGCATAAGACACGCCCCCTGGGAGGATCACCTGGAGAAAAAAAACTCGGGTTACATTAATAACCTTTATTCTGGTTATTACTATAAACACACACACACACACACACACACACACACACACACACACACACACACACACACACACACACACACACACCACACACACACACACACACACACACACACACACACACACACACACACACACACACACACACACACACACACACACACACACACACACACACACACACACACACACACACACACACACACACACACACACACACACACACACACACACACACACACACACACACACACACACACACACACACACACACACACACACACACACACACACACACACACACACACACACACGTGTACCTTGAGGATGTGCACCAGGTGACTCAGCAACGCCTCCTGGTTGTCAGCGGCGCAGATCAGCTGATCACTCAGAGTCACCATCTCAAACTGGAGAGCAGGCCTGTAGTACACACAGTACACACAAAGTACACACATTATACACACAGGTAAAATACATAATACACACATTATACACACTGTACACAAGAGGTACACACTCACCCCTCCTTGAGGAACACAGAGAGGACCTCCCGCAGGTCGAGGACGTCGCACGCCGCCGAGTCGTTTTCTAACGAGAAGAGGAAACGATCTTCCTCCAGTTTACCGTGAAGCTCCTCATCCTCCTCACCTACACACACACACACACACACACCACACACACACACACACACATTATTTTACATTGTCTAAATGGTGCTCATTATATATTCGTCCAGGTGATTCTTCCTACCTGAGGGGGCGGAGTCAGGGCTCCTATTGGCCACTTGAGGCAGGTAAGGCGGGATATCTGAGAGAGAACAAGCAAAAGCAGACGTCAAGAAAAGAGGTCTGTACAGGGGGGTGTGTGTGTGTGTGTGTGTGTGTGTGTGTGTGTGTTACCTGTGTACTCGTTGAGGCGGAGAAGCTCGGTCTGCAGAGCCTGATTGGCTCTCTCAGCCAGCAGGATGGGGGAGGGGCTAAGAAGGTCGGTTTGACATACCTGCACAGGTAACAACACTCAGATAAACAGGAAGTGGTAACTACAGTTTGTGTGTGTGTGTGTGTGTGTGTGTGTGTGTGTGTACGTGTGCGTGAACATGTGTGTGTGAGAGTGTGTGTGTGTACGTGTGTGTGTGAGAGTGTGTGTGTAATAACCTTTGCTCCTGAGCAGATCAGAGACATCGTTTCTTCTACGTCGTCTCCACACACCACCTGACGCAGCCTCTGAAATACACACACACACACACACACACACACACACACACACACACACACACACACACACACACACACACACACACACACACACACACACACACACACACACACACACACACACACACACACACACACACACACACACACACACACACACACACACACACACACACACACACACACACACACACACACACACACACACACACACACACACACACACACACACACACACACACACACACACACACACACACACATTCTTTACTCCAGGGGGTCCAAACGTTTTTCACATTCTTGATACTTGAATACTGTACTTTAAGAAGAATAAACAAACAGCTCATCCCTTCAAACAGAATGATGATCATAAGAGGAAATATGAGGGGTTTAATTCAAGCTTGTTATATGAATAAGTTATTGGGCTTTTTCTATCAACTAAGATTTGTTCGAAAATGTTTTCAGCTCTAATTGACTTAATCTATTTGAGAAGTGGGCTTTTTAACACATGAATACTACTGTGTAATAATTGTTAACATATATTTTTCAGAAGTACAATATAAGAAAAACACACATTTCATATGTGGGCCATATTCCAAAATACTTTAAAGGTCCCATGTCATGCTTTTCCGGTTATTACCCGTCCCCTTGTGTTCTGTAGCTTCTGCATGTAAACGGTCTGCAGAGTCACAAACCCTCAAAGTACACCCTGTAGCGAGTAAAACTCTAACACAGAAAAGACCTGTCTATGCTGCCCCAGAACGCCTCGTTGGACATTTCTCTTTTTCTTCCTGGGTACAGTGACGTGCCCATACCCAAATGGGCCCATTGGTCCAAATGGACCAATCCGCGGAGCCGTTACGTTACGTCCGCAGAGCCGTTATGTTAAGTCCGTGGATTGGTCCATTGGGATCTGGAATCCTCACACACACACACACACTCAGGCCTAGGCTCCACGGGGACGAAAACGGGTTGAATCCGCATATTTCTCATGCGTATAGCCCTTTAAGCTAGACGACGCCGTAACGGAAACGTAGAAACAGACCCCGCAAACGACAACGGGTCCAAAGGTGGATAGATCTGGGAACAGAGTGCTCTGGGGGGTCCAACGGGGCCGTGGGGTCGCCTATACGGTCATCCGTTTCATAGCCCCGCCTCCCCCCACCTCTGCTGCTCACCCCCGCAAAAGTACACTGCACACTGAATTCAGATTATTTATCTTTATCTCGATATGAACATAAACGCGAGTGAAGTCTAATCTGACAGGACGCAGCTCCTCCGGCTGTGATGCAGCGGGAGCAAAACACACACTTCAAGTCAGATCACCACCCTTAGCTATTTTAATTACCTCTCAAACTACCTAAACTAGTTATAAATATGTTTATTTTTACTGTCGGGTTTACTTACTGGATCAGCTGCTGCATGAGGAAGCATGAAGATTTAAACTTTAACACACATTGACCGGCGAAAAACTCTGCGCGGTTCCCTCGGCCCCCACCGCGGAGAATAAACAGAAGTGCAGCCATGACAACCATTCTTCTTCGCTGCTTTTGTGGAGGAAGTTGCTGCTTTTTGTGGAGGAAGTTACAGCGCCACGTACAGGTTCGGCATATGTACTGCAGCTTTTCCAGCGGTTGGATGTAAACGGAGCCGTCTCGTGGAGCTTGACACAATCCGGTGTATATTGCGTGTGGGCGGAAGGTTTTTTGCGGTTGCGTTTGCGTTACTCCGATGCGTTTTGCCGTATGGGTTCCCGTGGAGCCGGGGACATCAATCTTTTCTCAGCTGCAGCTCCGCCAATTTCTCCTCCCTGAGACGGCGGGACGCGGCGAGGCTGTGAGTTGGTGTGTGAGCACACACACCAACTCCCAGCCAGGCTGCGGGTGTGTGTTTGTGCTCAGGCTGGTTTCGGGCTAGGTTTCGCTGTGTCTCGCTGTCTCGCAGACGGTCACTGGGCTCATAGGGAGGGGGGGGCAGGAGCTCCAACAAGCCGTGTAGGACAGAGAGTGAATACACATACTATACAGAGATGCTGTATGAGAAACCAATGTGAGTTTGGAACATTGCACAATATAAATCCATTCTAGTAGACCTCAACAATGGAACTATGATCAGTAGAAATGGCCATGACATGGGACCTTTAAGAATCTGAGGGCCGATTCAAAATGGACCACGGGCCGTACTATGGACACCCCAGAATCTATTTTAAAATTGTATTGCTAACTTATAAAGCATGAAATGGTTTGGGGCCCAATATATGTGGGACATGCTGATACAGCATTCCCACTATCTGTTATGCTACGCACGGAATTCTTTATTATTGCGCCGGGTTATTTTGCACCTCTTCTTCTCCCACATTCCACATCGCAGAAACTCCGTTCAAACATCAAAACGTTCAGCTCGGTCGGGAATCGCAGGCTATTACTTTTCTCATTCACAACTTTCATAATTCCAGAGATATATCCCATAATACATCACATTTTTAACCATTGAAGTCAATGGAGAAATTCTTCAGACTTCAACAAATCTTCATGCGACTTCAACTGCTAACTGTTGATTCATACTTTCACTCAGAAACCTCATTCCAACTTTAAAATGTTACACATCTTTCTGACATTATTCATGTAACACAACTTTTAAATCTGATTCGTACTTTTAGAGATATTAAACATTGTTCAGACCTTGGTAAAGAGGCCTTCTTCAGATTTTAGAGTGCGTGATGTCACAGCTAGAGTGGAGGACAGATTTAATTTTGCCTTCATATTTTCTTTTAAACCTGCCATAATTCCCAAACCCTACATTCCTGAGACATAATTTTTCATGACAAACGTAGGAAAACATCTCGTAGCTTGAAAAATTCAAACAAATTAAGCAAAATAATTAAACAAAATGCCTCTTGAGGGCATGAAGTGACAAAAACTTTCAACATGTCTCCATTAAAGCCCATTGTAAGTTCAGCCTCACCTTTCCCCACCACAGCAGCCGCACACCTTTAGTTAATCTGCCAAAAAGGCCACATTATTGACCCGAAAGTACACAAAAAGTACACTTCAGATGCTCAAGTTCCTTGACATGCTTCACACTTTGAAATTTCATTTCTTCAATAAAACGTTCACATGTAAGTGGTTTATCTCTCATTCAGAACAATGCAAATGCTCTCCTCTCACTGATTACTGCACATCACCATGGAAACCTTTGATCTCTGGACACGTCGTTAGCTCAAATATAAACACCTGTGTCATGGAACACGATGATGTCATAACTCCAATTGACATGCTCAGAGCAGCAGACTTCAGATAATGGTCCTGCCCTCAACAGCTCTACGTCAATTATGGGGTGTCATCATATGCCGTTTCCATGGAAACGCATCCCTCGCCATAAAACACGATGTCGCTGTAACTCCAATGGACACGGTCCGGTCGTCCCACAATCTTCACTTGTATATCACCTCTCCATGCCTCAACAGCTCTACGCCAAATCTGACATCTCACCATATGCCGTTTCATAAAACACGATGTTGTGGTAACGCCTATGAAAAGGGTCAAAACAGCACCACACTTCAGATAATGGTTAACGGTCCAGCCCTCAACAGCTCTACGTCAATTATGGGGTTTCATCATATGCCGTTTCCATGGAAACGCATCCCTCGCCATAAAAGACGATGTCGCTATAACTCCTATGAAAATGTTCAAAAAGTGCTCAAACTTCACATGTGTGCTAACAGTCCAGCTGTGAAGACATCTACGGGAACGTTTTGAGATTTCTTCAAATGCTGTTGCCATGGCAACACAATGCTCGCCATGAAACACGGTTTTCTCATAACTTCAGTGAAAATGCTCCAAATGGCCCAAAACTTCACAGGTTTGGTAACGATGCAGCCATCAACGCATCTAAGCGTATTATGGGATGTCATCAAATGCCGTTGGCATGGCGGCAGATCATTCGCCATCAGGTTAGTTCAAAAGTTTGCAGTTCAAATATTCTGCTACTTTTCCAAGCCATTTTACTTTCTTTTCTTCACTCATCACACATTCAACCCCCCAGTGTTCATGTATCATTTCAATCTAAATTCTTCACTTTCTTCTTACACATTACATTTCAGCATAGCAGTTTAGCATCAGCTTTTCAGCATAAAGCATTCCCACTAGCAATTTCTTCAGGAATTGCATTCTCTAGTGTTTATTTATTGTGTTCCTTTCTGTTGTCTATGTGTTAAGTGTTAATGATCATGTAAAGCACTTTGCTTCTGTGTCTAAAAATGTGCTTTATAAATAAACGTACCTTACCCCTGCCTTACTCTATATCAGGGGTCGGCAACCCCTGGCACGCGTGCCACCAATGGCACGCGGCACCGTAACCAGTGGCACACTAGGAATAAGTGTACAAAATATTTATTTTATTTTTGGATCCTGAACGAGACCGCCGCCAGAGCGCGTCTCCCCGTTACCTGCAGAAGGAAGCCATGCACGCAACGCAGCCCCACTCTCTTTAACTCCAGGCGACTTTCTGCCGCTTTCCTCCGTAATGCAGTGCTGATAGTTTCACCACAGAGGAAAGCACTTCACAAATTGCAGTACCCATAAGGAGCTGTAAAAATGCCGCAGTTTTTGCGTGGCGATCGATATCGGCCGATACTCACTCTCTGCCGATCGATCGGTGCTCTCTAAAAAGGCTGATCGCGAGACGTAACATACATGACACTTTTCTCTGTGTGCTGCAAAACAAGCTCGCCAAAATCGCTTCACCAATCTGGCAGTATTTTAAGGTGTCCGAAAATGACAATAAAATAGCGGTGCAACGTGTGTGAAGCAGAAATCCTGCAGCTCCACCCGCTGTGACGGACCGGTGAGTGGAGCAAAACACACAAGTTAGACCTAACACACTTAGCTATTTTATCTACCTTTGGAACTAGTTATAAATATATTTATTCTTCACTGTCACTCATTACTGGATCAGTGAGCTGCATGAGATACTGACAGGCTGTCAGGAGTGAGAGGGCGGGAGAGAGGAAAAGAGAGCGCTTCCGCTAATTTCTCCCGTGTTATTATCCAAAGTTAATGTAAACTTGAATAATGTACTTCATTTGAATGTAACAATTATGTTGGTTGTTTGTGGAAGCGCCAGTGAATGAGCCCCATTAACTGAGTTTTAAACATCACTTTTCACGAGTGTTTTCGTCGAGCTCTTCAATTGATAATTCACGATCGTCGGCACGCTGATACATTTTTTTTTTTAGAATGGCACTTCATATCAAAAAGGTTGCCGACCCCTGCTCTATATGAAACCTCCGTTAGCTATTAGCTCTGTGTAGTGCAGATTTAAACACAGATGGTTCCTTTGGATCTGATGGTACAGAGACCTGGTCAAACAGGAAGTGCCCTCAGGTGTAGCTTCAGGTGAGACTCACCTGGTCCATGAGGGCGGGGGAGGGGGTCAGGTGGTGAACCCTCCTGTAGCGCCCCCTCCTGTATTTATCCTGGATGAACTTTGACCTCTCTTCGTCCGGCGACCCCGGAAACAGCTGCTCTGCCGCCGGCACCACAGGAGCCCACACCTGATTGGCCAGCCGGTTACCGTGGGCGACAAACAGCTGGGGGAGGAACAGGTGAAAGGTCAGCACCCCCCTCCCTCAAAGATCAAAGGTTTAGATAAGATAAAGACAGAATGAGTTTATATCATTCAATGGACACACACACACACACACACACACACACCACACACACACACACACACACACACACACACACACACACACACACACACACACACACACACACACACACACACACACACACACACACACACACACACACACACACACACACACACACACACACACACACACACACACACACACACACACACACACACAACACACACACACACACACACACACACACACACACACACACACACACACACACACACACACACACACACACACACACACACACACACACACACACACACACACACACACACACACACACACACACACACACGGTTCACCCCCCCTCACCTGTATTAATGATTCACCCCCCCTCACCTGTATTAATGGTTCAGCCCCCCCCTCACCTGTATTAATGGTTCAACCCCCCCTCACCTGTATTAATGGTTCAGCCCCCCCTCACCTGTATTAATGGTTCAGCCCCCCAGTCACCTGTATTAATGGTTCAGCCCCCCCTCACCTGTATTAATGGTTCAGCCCCCCCTCACCTGTATTAATGGTTCAACCCCCCTCACCTGTATTAATGGTTCAGCCCCTCCTCACCTGTATTAATGGTTCAGCCCCTCCTCACCTGTATTAATGGTTCAGCCCCCCAGTCACCTGTATTAATGGTTCAGCCCCTCCTCACCTGTATTAATGGTTCAGCCCCCCCTCACCTGTATTAATGGTTCAGCCCCCCCTCACCTGTATTAATGGTTCAGCCCCTCCTCACCTGTATTAATGGTTCAGCCCCCCCTCACCTGTATTAATGGTTCAGCCCCCCAGTCACCTGTATTAATGGTTCAGCCCCCCCTCACCTGTATTAATGGTTCAACCCCCCTCACCTGTATTAATGGTTCAGCCCCTCCTCACCTGTATTAATGGTTCAGCCCCTCCTCACCTGTATTAATGGTTCAGTCCAGATCTTGTTGTCCATCTTCAGACTCCGTACCTTGGACAGGTTGCTGCCCAGAGCTCGGTGCTGACCTGGGAAGAAATCCCTGTTAGCATTAAAACCAGCTAGCTACATTAGCATCCCACCTGTTGTCCACTTGTGCTAGGTTTACCTGCGCAGGCCTGGCAGATGACGAGCAGCAGGTTGGCCGACGCCCACTCCGGGTTAGCGGTGCCGCAGTCACCGCACACTTTGTTGTCGGGGTTTTCCCAGAGCCGCAGCGCCACCTGGCTGCAGGACAGAGCACTGCGGATAGTGGAGGACAGAATGTCCAACCAGAGGGACAGATCCTTCGTCGAATCAACAGACAGACTGCGGGAGGGGGCGGGGCCACGAGGAGAATGGGTCAGGGCAAGAAAAGACAGTAAAGCACACTTCGGACACACTTCGCACACACTTGGGACACTTGGGACACACTTCACACACACTTGGGACACACTTGGGACACACTTGGGACACACTTGGGACACACTTCACACACTTGGTACCTGAAGCTCTTGTACGGAGTGATGAGGCTGAACGAGTGTTTTCCCGTCGTTTTGACCGAGGCCACGTTCAGGGGCACGGAGAAGGAGGCGATGCCCAGCTGGAAGGCCTCCTTGCTGTGGTAGATCCAGAGGTCGTGACCCCACAGGGCGGCGAAGGCGCGGCTCCGCGTGTCCTTCATGGTGATTGCTCCAAGGAGTTCTGGGGTGGCAGGGCTTGGCTGGCCTCGGGACGCTAACAGAGACGTGACCCAGCCTTCATGGACCTCTGAGAGAGTAACACATGAAGAAGAACCAGAGAGGAGGGGTGTACCCGTCTGTTACTATGTGGAGTATTAATACTGCAATTATAAATAATACTTTACCTAATATTTTCTGCCATATACGTTTATATTTTAGCTGTGTGTTAGCACCGCCTTGTGGTCGTAATGAGCATTACCACATTTACTGATCTAGCTCCTGGTCTCCGTTGTGTTCTGAGCTTCTTCAACGTTTGGTTTCTGCAGTTTTCAGTAAACGCTGCCATGTCTCCTCAAGTTGCTGAATGTTCTCTAAATGCTGCATGTGTTGTTGCTGAAGATGTTCCTTCATGAGGAACATTTGGGTTTCCATACCTGCATCCTTTCTGAAGCTGCTTCTCCTGATGGAAGAGTTTTATCGTGTAGCGCATTTGCATCTGTCGGCCTCCGTATAACAGATGATGACGAACTGCATCATTTGCAGTTTTAAGAGGTTATAAATCACAATATAACCAAATATGATGTTATTGGAATAACCATAAGCATATAAAGTCACAGTTATATGATGTTGTGACTAAAGGATTGTGGTATTATCCTTTTTGTCCTTTACTGCAAACCTTTGTTACCTTAACTTTTATATATATGTTTATATTCTCTGTCCTGCTCATTTCAAACTTCATGAACTGATATTATAACCCAGACTCCCCGAGACGTCGCGATGGAGAAGGTGAGCTCACCGTCGTTGTGAGCCATGAAGTCGTAGTGCTTCTTCCTGAAGTACACGGAGAACCTGCGTTTGTCCTGTTTCTTTACGTTCGTGATGCTGGAGACGTGAAACAGAACCTCGCTGAACCGGTCCTGGTGAACGAAACAAACACACCTGAGCACTGACTGACTGTAGACAGACAGGTGGAGACAGACAGGTGAGAGACAGACAGGTAGAGACAGACAGGTGGAGACAGAGAGACAGGTAGAGACAGGTAGAGACAGACAGGTGGAGACAGACAGGTGAGAGACAGACAGGTAGAGACAGACAGACAGGTGGAGAAAGAGAGACAGGTAGAGACAGGTAGAGACAGACAGGTAGAGAGAGACAGGTGGAGACAGAGAGACAGGTGGAGACAGACAGACAGGTGTATACAGAGACAGGTACTTACGTTGCGTTTTTTCCAAAGAGACATCAGCTGCCCGTCCAGCGTCGCCCACAGAACGTTGTGTCTGTAAGAAAGAGAAACTATGTGAATCCGCTCCTCTTCCTCCTCTCCCTCCTCTTCCTCCTCTCCCTCCTCTTCCTCCTCCCTCCTCTTCCTCCTCTTCCTCCTCTTCAGTATCTGATCTGATGAGGTGTTCCTCAGGGCTCTTTACTGGGTCTCCTGTCGCTGTTAATGTCAAACGATCTGTCTGCTTCTCAGCTGCTTGATTCTCAATCACCTCAATGGGTGACCTGTAGCATACCTGCTGAGCTAACAGTGGGTTGCTGCTCTTGTGATATTTACACATTTAAACGGGTTAATTTGCAGACATTTGGAGCAAATTGTACGTTTTTAAAAACCAATTCTCAAAGATAAGACAAAGAAATGAGCCGAGTGCAGTCAGCTGAAGACTTTTATGGCTGGAGCTCAGTCTCTGCTGGACCTTGAGACGGCCGATAGCGATTGGAAGAGTTGCAGCTGCTCAGAGCCTGGAGCCTGCTATAGCCACATGCTAACATGCTAACATTGTCTCGGACACAAAGCATGTCCCATCACAGACTCTATGCATTACATAAATGCACACAATGTACACAATATCTGTTATTTTATTACTGCACATATTTTATTCCATTCTATTTCAATGTAAATACTTTTCTTTAAATAGTTTTATATCTGTGTTTTTAATTGTTGTTTTACTTTCATGTATGCAGCACGACATCAAGTCAAATTCCTCGTACGTGTCGACCCACCTGGAGATAAACCTGGTTCTGATCTGATGTCCTGAACAGTGGATATTAATCCTTATCATCAGAAACAGGGACAATCAAATGTAATAAGACTTCCAGATCAGATACAGAGTGATGGTGACGCTGATAGCTCCATCAATAATAATACATTTTATTTATAAAGGCGCTTTCAAGGCTCTCAAGGTCGCCGTACAAGGTTCACAAAACAGTACACAAAACAGAAGTCCAAAGAACAGCACATTATAACCAATGAAGAAGAGCAGAGGGCGTGTGATGTGATCAGGGTGGATATGGTATTAAAGGTGATGGTGTTACCTGAAGCCCTTCCACACATCCAGCCAGCCGGACCTCACCACGGCGCTCTGAGGGGCCGCCCCCCCCACGGCCCCCTTCTTCCTGGACACTCGGATAGTGGCCGTCCTGCAGGACACAAACACACTGAGTCTCAGACGTTCCTTTAAACATCTTCAGCAACAACACATGCAGCATTTAGAGAACATTCAGCAACTTGAGGAGACATGTGTTCTCATGATGATTTGCAAACCTTTACAGGTTTATGGGCTGGTCCTGCACTGATTGCATGCTACACTGCGTCAGTTCTCTCTTGTGTCGTAACGCTGCTTTCCTGAACTCTTACTTACCGTCAGCAAGAATAAGAAAACTAAATCAGAGAAATTAAAGCTAATGAAATAAATAAATAAGGACGTTTGTTGTTGTTTGTCTTCCTGAAGGTGCGTTTGCGTACCTCGGCATCTTCTGTCTCAGCGGCTTCTTTAATTGGCTGGGAGGAGGGGGTGGGGCCGGCCGCATGGGGATCAGACGTCCCGCCTGATTGGACGGGAGGCTGCAGGACAAACAAACACCAGTTAGGATGCAGTGAAGTACTAGATGTAGTTTTTGTAGTACCGTATAAATACTTGGTGGTTGTTGACGATGTGTTATGAGCAGGATCTCCCTCCATTGGTCCCTCTGCACCAGAAGGGGCGGGGCTTGCTCCTGTATCGTCCTCCTCATTGGACGAGTCGGTGTCGGCTTCCTCTTGGCTCGCCCAACAAGCTAACAGCGTGACGTACGGATTCTCTTCTTTGATGGTGTGAGGAGAGCGTCTGCAGACTGGAACCCAGACAGACGGAGAGGAGTCAGACCCCGAGGACACACACTTTATATAATCTACTAAACCGTTCATAATGAAACTAAATATTCCGTCAACATTCATCCGTCTCATCGGGAGGTGGACGTGTTGGACTATGCATCTCACCCTCCCTCTTCACCTAATTGAAAAGCTTTGCTCATATGGGAAAAATGGTTGTCTTTTCTTATGTTTAAACACTTCATATTGTGAATAAGAGTCTTATATGAGACTGAACACACCTTCCTCTGATGGCTCCGCCTCCTGAAGAGACGGTAAAGAGACTCCTGTGTTCGGGTCTAACGTTAACATCACCAGCTGAGACAACGCTCCGACATCTGCACACAAACAGAGGACACGCTCAGCCAATCAGAAGGGAGTATGTCTGAAACTGATGGGCCAATACAGAGCGGGAGGTAGTCCTGTGTTGGACCCTGAAGGCAGCATCTCCCACGTCCAATGGGATTCCAAACAGACGTTTAGTTCAGCAGGATAATCTCCACATATTAACACCACTTTGTGATTTCTGAAGTAACAAGCTGACAGGTATTTACTGACAACACGTTAAAGTCTCTTCAGCTCGTGTTAACCACAGACCTGATTTCAGGATTACAACCAAAAACACATTCAGAAAACCATTGACCTCCAGACCAGGGGACAGGAAGTGAGGAAATGCTGACTCATATTATCGTATGGACTCGTTCCTGCAGAACACTTTGAGTGCCCCTAAATTAAAACAAAGGAAATGGAGGAATTTTATTTAAAAAAACAACTTCTTGCTGTACCTGTGTGAGCGTCTCCGATCCCCGGCAGTGAGGGGGGGGGGGCTGACGGGGTCGTTATGGAGCTAACAGACGGGTTAGCCACATTGCTAACAATCCCCGCTAAACTGGGAATGTTAGCGAACGAGCTAACTATACTGTCTAAGCTAACGGTGTGACCAGCTGTGTTGAAGGAGGCGGAGTTTAACATAGCAGCGGGAGGGTTAGCCACAGCGCTAGCAGTTCCCGCTAAGCTAGGTATGTTAGCAGCGATGCTGTTAGCCATGCTGTCTATGGAGGGGGGGGGAGAAGGGGCGGAGGGGGCGGAGCCTCTGAGGGAGGTGGCGAGTCCGGCCAATGAGGGGATGCTGCTGGCGATGATGTCAGTG